GCAGTCATGGCTTAATATAGCGAACAGGGGAAGGGGGAGGTATTAATGGGTCTCGTTAGCCGTTTTTGTCTGTTGAGGGGTTGCAATTGGAATCCCCAGTCAGGAACCGTGATTCTTGGGGGTCAAGTGGTAGCAGCAAGATCGTCGTCACGGTATAGCCATGACAATTTAGGAGCGAACGACCCCTATGCGGGGCCAAGTGGTAGCCAGCAGATCGTGTTCACGGCTTGGGGAGCAAGCGTTGGGGTCATTTTTGGGTGTTTTTATACTTGTATTTCTTATTCAAATTTCTGAAACTGATAGATGTGTGTTCCTCTTCCTTTGCGTTGCTCCTTCCTCCTTCCTTCCTTCATTCCTGTCTCCCTCCTTTTCTCGTTCCCTCCTTCCTCCCTCCTCTTCGTCCCTTCCTTCCTCCTAAGGCTTCCTCCCTTACTCCCTTAGGGCCTAGTGGTTGCATTACTCGCCATTCGCCAACATTGTGAATGCATCTGGACATCCTTTTGTCCAGATGCATGCAATCCAGATGTCCAGATGCATTCAATCCAGATGTCCAGATGCATTCAGAATCTTGGAGGATGGCGAGTAGTGCAACTAGGCCCCTACTCCCTCCCCTCATTTCCTCATTTCGTTCCTTGGTTCCTTTGGTCCTCCCTCGCTGCCCTTCTCTCTCTCCCTCCCTTCTTTCGCAGGTGCAAGGTCCCAACTACCAAAGAGGATCGGATTAAGCGACTGAATCTGGATGTGTTTTACCGTAGAGATGCAGAAAAACAGCTCTCCACCTTGGACCTCTGCACCTCTCCATGCATCGGATGCCGCCGATTTCTGCCCCTCTCCATGAAAACGTCCTGATTCAGCGGCTTAATAGGGTGACCGTCCACTTTGCTTGTGGGACCTCGTCCCTTTTTGTTTTCTTCTTTTCTTTTCTTTTTTCTTTTCCCTCTAAATTTCACCTTTCAGTGCTTTCACACTATCTCCCTACCACTACTCTTTGATTGTGGGACTACCCTATATTCTTCTCTCAATTTCACCTTTCACCATCTCCCTACCACTACTCCTAAGCCTATACAGGGGACGCCCTGCAAGCATATCTACTGCTCCCGATTAGTGGGATGCATGTTACCCCTTGCCCTGAATTTGGACGTGTTTGTGCACAGGTGCAGGACACCCCAACGGCGGCCCTACCCTACTCCATGGCCCTAATTGCCCTAATCGGCAGTCACTGTGGCCATGGAGTAGGGTAGGGCAGCCGTTGGGGTGTCCTGCTAGACCGAGGATTTTGCCGGCGTTAGGGTAGGGCAGCCGTTGGGGTGTCCTGCTAGACCGAGGATTTTGCCGGCGTTAGGGTAGGGCAGCCGTTGGGGTGTCCTGCTAGACCGAGGGGTGTCCTGCACCGATGATACCCCAACCTGCTGACTGCCACTTGCGTGCCTCTCCAACTGAGCTACCTTCTTCCCCCGATTATAGCTGTATTTGAGCCATCCTTCAGTCTAGATACAGCTATAATGACCGTACGTTGTTGTATTCGGGGGAAGAAGGTCGGCCACTGGATGCCCCCGCTCTTTCTTTCTTGCTTCCTTGCTTTTGGGGCTTTAGCGAAAAGTCAAAACAAAGGCACCAACGGGCCTAGCTCAGTTGGTACACCCCTGGGCCGAGGTCCCACTAGCAAAGAGGATCGGATTGAATGCCTGAATCTGGATGTGTTTCACGCAGAAATGCAGAAAAAGCAGTTCAATCTCGATTTCCTGAACCTGTGCAAAAACACGTCCAAGTTCACGCATTCAATCCCATCCTCCTCGCTAGTGGGACCACGCTCCTGAACTGTTGAATTACGGACTCAAGTTTGAAAACCTAACCCTTGCATACATCCAGGAAAGTTCTAGTGAAACTCTCGAGTATGCCGCACCCTTGTTTTTTTTTTTTTTTTTTTTTAATCCTAATTTTTTTTTTTCCCTTTATAAAAGCTGGGAACCGGTCTAGGTGGGGCCCTCGGCGGGCAAAGCATCACGGGCCAAGCACATCGAGGGAACCACTAGATTTCACCCTGCAGCCAACTCCACAGCCAAATCCACAGCATCTACCACTAGATTTCGGTCAAGGTCGAAAGCTCATCACTAAAAATTCTAATCACAAAAGTCATGTGAACCCTAATTTAGTGACCCAAATTCCATCGTCCATTAAGAAATCATGTGCAAAAGAATCTACCCAAAAAAAAAAACGAATCAAAACCACAAAAAAGAAACGATCCATAAGACCTGCGTGATCATGTCCACCACCATTCATCCGGAGTTAGGGCCAGATCCCACTAGCCCCTATTGTTCATTTCTGACGGTTTTCTTCGGAATCGAGGGTGAAAAATGAATAATCCAGGGTAGTAATGGGATCGGACCCTTATTACCAACCCCTCTGCCAATCCGCCCTACCACCGGCGGGGCAGGGGTCTGTGTGTGCCCACAGGCCCCAAACGGCTGACAGAGACTCCCCAAACCCACCCACCTCCTCGCCATTTAAAGAGGATAGCGCCTCCCCACACTCCTCTTTACAAAAACACCAACTCCAAAAAAAAAAAAAAAAAAAAAAAAAAAAAAACCCAGAAAAACACCCAACTCCCACCACGATGCTGTTTTCACTAACCAGGGGTACAGTCCGTTTTTCACATTTGGCCCAGCAATTCACCAAAATTGACATGATCAAAAAAAAAAAAAAGAAACAGATTTAATCATCGGCAAGTTATCGACATGATGAAAAAAACTGTGCACCACTTGCTCCAGTCCCCTCGCCCTCCCTCTTTCATGAATGAACCAACCCCCATCATGATGCTGCACGAATGAATTTAACCAGGTTCTGGCAGACAGGTACATTTCGAATTGCTCTTGAGTCTTGGCTCATAGATGGAAATTGGTCATAACGGCGCCTAGGGTCGCCGGATGGACACAGGGTTCTCTCTTCACGTGGCCATGATGGCCCTGTTTGATGATGGGCCTGGCTGCTCTGCTCTCGAAATGTGCAAAACGAGAGTGAATCTTTCCCTAGAATATGGACAGATACACGGCCATGATTTTAGTTTTTTGTGCATGTCGAGAGTAGTGCAGCGAGGCCCCATGTTTGAACGTTACCGCAGAGAAGGAGAAGAGGAAATATATATATACATATGTATATATATTTTAAAAGGGGAAATATATTTGTGTATCATGTATGTATAAATATGAACGAATCTGACCGTGCCCACTCACTCATTTTAATTCTCTTTTTATTTTTTCTTATTTTTGTCATAGTGTTTATTTTCTGTATTTGATTTTTAATTCAAATTTGGTAAAGAATTTGGATACAGTGCCCAGGCAAATGTTGTGTAGTTTATTTTTCTCCATAACATATTTGTTTTTCGGAATTTTTTGAAAACTTGTTTTTTTTTTTCCCCGTCCGCGTTCGGCCCGAACGGCCGAACGCCTTCCGAAGGGGTCCCGTACGTTCGGGCGTTCGGGTTCGGGCGTTCGGCCCGTCCTGAACGCCAGCAACCGTGTATATATATATATCGTCAAACAGAACTGCCCGGTAAACCGTAGGCAGAGAGGGAGAAGAGTATATATATATATATACGGTTTACCGGGCAGTTCTATTTGACGATATATATATATATATGGGGAGAAGAGTATATATATATATATATTTACCGGGCAGTTCTATTTGACGATATATACTACGACTTCGCTAGCTTCCTGCTACGGTTTTCTCCGGTCAGGTCGAGCGGCAGTGGTCGGGGCCGTCACTACGCGGCCATGCTGTGCCTCTAGTGCCAGCGGCGTGTCTGGAGTGTATTTTTTGGCTGTGAYAGACCTTTCTTTGTTTCGTGGRTGTTTTGYTGGYTTGTGATGGGGTGTGAACCGACAGTCTGTAGAGTTTTCCATCTGGTGTGGGTGAGTGATAGTCTACTTTGATTTTGGTTAAGGTAGATTATCATTTACAGTGTAATCAGTGAGGGGATTCTGCAGACTGTTGAGGGTTCAGCCTCCTGATGAGTCGCTGAAACTCCGACGAAACAGTTTGTCACAGCCCCTCGTTTGTTGTTCTCTTCTCTCTCTCTGCCTACGGTTTACCCGGCAGTTCTGTTTGTGACGATATATATATTTATATATATATATATATATTAAAAGGGAAAATATATTTGTGTATCATGTATGTATAAATATGAACGAATCTTACCGTTGTTTTCCAGGAGCCCAAAACCTAAAACCTCTAGTATCTGAAGCCAATGACATATCCAGAATTAGTTTGGGTTCAATTATGCCCATTTACATCCGGGAAGTTGGAACTTTCGTGTTTTTTTGTTTTGTTTTTGGCACTTTTTGCAAATTGAAAGTTGTTTTTCATTGAAGTCCACTTTGGCCCAGATCTTCTTCTTTTTTTTTTTCAAATGAAAACGTGTCAATTTACCCAGTTGTCTTAATTGTACGACTCCCTAAACAGAAGAAAAGGGGAAAAGGAAAAAAACACGATAACTGAGCACGTGCCATTTATCCAATATCCAGTTTATGGTTCGCAACGATGTGCTGCACTCACAAAAAACTGCCAGTGCTGATCTGTTCGAACACTGCTCTCCTTCGAGAGTAACGGCATCAACTCTAAAGGAGGAAAGGGGGGGGGAGGGGGAAGGGGGAGGGGATGATAAGAGGAAACAGAATGAGTAAAAGACAGAGAAGAGTCTCACGAAACCTTGGGCACAGAATGAGTAAAAGACAGAGAAGAGTTTCACGAAACCAATATGGATAAGATCATACTCATCAAAATGTCTTCTTCTTTAAAAGAAAAAGAAAAAGAAAAGTCTTCTTTTTTCCGTGAAGAAAACTGCCTCTTGGAATGTCCAGTGAGTAGGAAAACGGGAAAAAAAAAAAAAAAAAAACTCAAGAAAAAAAGAAAAGAAGTCAAAATGAATGTAAGCGCAGATTTGGATACACCCCCGAAACCAGAAGCCCTTGGATTGAGTGCATGATCCCAGGGGCGGGGTCCCACTAGCAACATGGATTGGATTGAAGGCCTGAATCTAGACGTGTTCCTGGAAAAAGTGCAGAAAATCGAGATTGGACAGCTTTTCTGCATCTCTGCTTAAAGCACGTCCAGATTCAGAAGCTAAATCCAATCCTCTTTGCTAATGGGACCATGCTCCAGGATTTCGTCCAGATTCAGGAGCTAAATCCTATCCTCTTTTTTTTTTTTTTTTTTTTTTGGAAGTGAAAACATTTGGGAAAACTTTCTACAATCCGTTTGCTAAGCATATAACAGCGATTTCGTCAAAATGGACGTTGTTTATTTCTTGAACCAAAATTGAAACCGAGTAAATTGGCCTGAGTGAGGTCGATTTTTTTTTCGCTTTCGAGGGTACAGCTTTCTTAAAACGCCTTTAGCTAACCCCGCTGAATGTATCTGGACTTAGCTGGAGTCCAGGGGGTACGGCATTTTATATACTAGAGTGTATAGTACTTAACAACATCTACTGTGTGATTGATTTATTTGTATGTGGGAAAACTGTGCAATTGTGAAATCTGATTGCAGGGAGCTAGAGTCAATCTCACAGCAGTCTGCGTTGACTTCTGCCTTGACTACTTCGGAAAGCACCTCTCCAAACAGCCAACTGACCAGCGAAGACTCGGAGGAGCAGGAGGCATGGGTGGCCGCACTTCCCACTGATTTTGCCAGCTTTGGATGGGAGGCACGCAAGCAAAGAAGCCGCCGTGCTGCAGAGAATGCTCGCCGCCTGGGATTCCATAGAAGAAATCACAGCTGCGGGGAGGCTGCTGACGAGTCTGTCCTACGAGTGAGGTGGGTCAGTGTGTGTGTGTATGTGTGTGTCACTGTGTGTGTGTGTGTGTGTGTGTGTGTGTGTGTGTGTGTGTGTGTGTGTGTGTGTGTG